CACTTTGCTTGAATCGTCGTCTTCTTACGACTTGAACATGGGATCGTTTTTGCAGAATGTTCTACACACCGTCAAACATAATAACGGACTCAGTATTTGCAGGTATTATCATACCAGATCAGGGAGTCCGTGGCTGGTCAAAGTGTACCGCTCATTCTTAAAGCTAATCTGCATCTGTCTAGGCAAGTGCTACAATGGAACAGTACAAAAGAAGTTGTTGAAGAAGAGTCACACGTTGTTTTTGAATGTCGACCGGCCCTCTCGTCTGAAACCTGAAAACGATGCTGATGCAGCAATATGTCTATTCCGTTTCTGCTTTCTTCTCTGCCGCTGCAAGTACCTACTTGTCTATTGTGCCGAAAGTAGAGCACTCACGTGGCAAATGATAATTTTCCGTTCGAATGAGTATGATCAGAGTCTTGTTCCGGCTGAGTCAGTCGTCTGTCACTGGTGCGTGAGCATGTGGCAATATGAGGTATTTAATAATATGCGGCGAAAAGCGACCTCACTTCGCATAGGAAACTGTTCGGTCTGCTCAGAATGGGAACTAACAACTATACCACTACCGGCGAAATGTTCGTGCATTTCTAAAACAGGTTTCTGACTGAATTTCTTACGCCATACGCTCCGAGCATTGCCTATTTTCTGGAGCTGAAAACCGCTCCGTAGTAACCTTCGGACGTTGTTGCACGACAGACGGGTTGGAAGATGCTCTAAATTATCGATCGCGAGGCTGCAGAAGCTGCTTCTTTTTCCCCTAATGCCCAGGAGCCAGGAACGCTTGTGAGGAGTGTGTGGAAGTTTCGGACGGTTGACAACAGACTACGGCACCAGTTGTGGCATCGATGCGAAGTTGCAGGTGTCTGCAAGGGCCAACATGCAGCTTCGAGGCCATCACCGTGGTGCTTTTGTCATTCGTAGTGTCCTCACGGCAGAACCTGGCCTACTATAGGAGCAGCGACAACAACAGCGGTACTTCTTCGTCGTGGTACCAGAACTATCAGAGCTATCAGAACTATTACCGTCACCAGTATAGCACGCAGTCGAATTCGTCATCGTACGTGGCCGTTTCCTCATCGGATATGCACAGCGGTCAGGCCGCGCCGGTAGTTCATCGAACTCACTCGCCTGTGGTCACTGCTACAAATTCGTTACCGTTTGCGTTTAGGCATGCGACACGAACTTGCAAGGCGATCTGACACAAAGGCTCAAATCGAAGGGTCTGTTCGACCTGCGGTACATGGCCACGTCATTGCAACAAGCGCTGCAGACGTTCCCTGATTTTACGGATTCGCGTTTCTTGCAGGTTAGCTCATGACTTTTTCCTCAGTAATTCATGGTGACCCGTTGTAGTACTTTCGTGGCTATTGAGTAACATTGCAGCATTGGAGTGTTATACCCGTTAGGAAAGTTCTGCATCGATTATAAGTACTTTGATCGTAATGGGGTCATA